GAGGGAGGGAAGAGCGCTATAAAAGTGCCCGCCGCGGCACATGCCCGCGTTGGGGGAACTTCCGAACGGCGGCAGCGGCCATGGCAGCAGCGCCCGCTGCCCGCAGCGTCGCCAGCCCTGGGCTGTCCTAGGAGCAGGCGGCGGGAGTCCTGCGGTGCGGGGTGCGGAGCGCGTGGGGCGGCGGCGGGAGGATGCGAGCGAACGGCTCCGATCTCAACGGCTCCGTCGTCCCGCGGGACGCGCCGGGCGARGGCGCGGCGCGGCGCCCGCCCTGGGTCACCTCCACGCTGGCCGCCATCCTCATCTTCACCATCGTGGTGGACCTGCTGGGCAACCTGCTCGTCATCCTCTCCGTGTGCCGCAACAAGAAGCTGCGCAACGCGGGTAAGGGGCCCGCGGCGCGGGGGTCCGCGGGGCGCGCCGCTCCGCCCGGGGCTCCGCCACTCGCGCCAAGCCGGCGGCCCGCGGTATTTTTAGGCACTGCCGCCGAGCGCGCCGCTATTTTTAGCGCCCGCTCCGTGTCCCCGCGCAGCGCAGGGAGGCGCCTCGCCGGGTGCTGCCCGAGGGACGCGGGGCTCGGCGCTGGGGACGCCGCGGGGACCCGCGGCGCGCGCGGGAGCCTCCGCCGCGGGTCTCTCGTGGCCGCGTTGAAGGGAAGTGGCTCCAGCAAGAGATTCTGTGGCTGCAGCCTCAAATTAAGCCCAATATTAAATTACAGCCCTTGCAGGGCTCGGAACAGGCAAAGACACTCAGTTCATTTTGCTCGCTTCCTACTTGTTATTTAGGTCTTTGGGGGATTGGAAACTGACAGAGAAACAGATTTAGGCACATCCTGGGAAAAAAAAAATGTGTGATTTTCACAGGATAGACTCTGTCAGGGTCTATTGAGTAAATCCCTCTTAGTTTATGGATTATTGGTTCGCCTGACAGGAACTTCTTCAGATTCATTCTGCTTTATCATGTCAGAGCAGCTGCTGTGCACGTGGGCCAGATCTGTGCACTCAAAAGCCCTTCCATTGAAAAAAATGTGGGAGCACGTGCCGGGAGCTGCCTTGTCAATGAGAGCAGAGCGCCGCTGCTCTACTCCATGACAACTAGGAGAGGCTGCTTTCGCAATTTCTTCCACAATTAGCTGGCAGACTCTTTGTTCCAGCACCCCTAAACTCCAGCAGTTAGTCATTTAAAATCCCCATGAGAGCAGCTCAGCCCCGGCTTTGCTGTTAGGCGCTGGTGTAAGGCAGTGAGTGTTGTACTCCAGCAAACGGTGCTCACTGCTGCGGGGTGAGGCAGGTCATGCAAAAGGACTCTAGTTCTCATTTGTACCTGGTCCTAGTGGAATGCCAACACARGATCAAAATGAAGACAAACTGTTTTTTCTTTTTCCCTCTTCTGTCACTGACACTGACCTAAAACCTATGTTCTCATTACAGTTCCTTGATACAAACACTTCGACTAAGGTTATATAGGGTATTTCCCCAAATCAGGTCAACTCTCCGCCACCCCTGTTCTCTCATTTAGGTCTTTTTTTTCCATCCTGGACTCTCTTGATGTGAGGTTTTCAGGTGGAGGAAAGGAGGGGCCCTCCATGAGAAGGAAGAGAATAGGGGTGTTCCTGGGGTTGTCATCCCTAGGGGAAACGGCAACTTCTCTCCCCCAGGTTAATCAAAACACAGCCCCGCTTTTCTGCCAGGAGGTCACAGTGCAGAGGTTTCTGTAACAGGCTTGAACAAAACGGGCTGGCCGGGCTCTTTGCTGCGAACGTTACTGGCTTCTCTGTGTGTGTGCGTGTTTTCTTCACCGTAGCGCTCTCATCTCCGCCTGCACCCAGCACGTGCTCCCTCTCCCTGCGCCTCTCGTTCTTGCCTCTTCCCTCACAGTGGCTCTGAGCAACTGCAGCAAAGTGGCCRCAGTTTCCTCCGCCGGCTAGGAGCACAGAGCAGCACGGGGCACTGCCTTTGGGCTGGCACACCAAGCACATGCAGTTTTACTCTGAAATCAGGAATTAACTGAAAGCGCTAGGTACCTGGTACACGTTGGAGGTGCCTTATTTTAGAAAAAAAACAAGAAAAAGAGTAGGAGTAGGTATTAAAGTTCCTGAAGAGGCAGATTAGGTCTTCTGTCCTCTAAGATAAAACTATAGAGTTTTAGTACACAAATTAAAAGTAAAATTGTGAATGAAAATAAGCCTCAAAATGATGTGCAAACTGTTTTTTGACTAATCCCATGAAAAACTACACCTGTCCACAACTCCTCCTGTGAGTAGCACCATTAAACTTGGCATTGAATTCAGAGATGACCCTGGTAAGTAGAATTATGAATGAGTGTTTAGAATGTCCTGGCCTAATATTATTGAATATAGTAACAGGGAGGAAAAAACTTCCTCAACTTGTTTCATTCAGATTATTTAAGAAGAGTTTATATTGAAAATATGGATTTATACATGCAATTCAATTCTAACTTGCTAATGACAAAGACAGTTAYAACTTTTTGCAGAGCTGTAATAAGAAAGAAACTTCTGACTTTTACAACGACTGTATTAAAGTACTTGGCTGGCRTATTTATTGAGGAGGAAAAAAAGACACAGGATGAAAATTGCACCGGAATAAAAGGTCAGGGAGGAACAGAAGAAACCTCCTGAAGAAAATGTATCTCATTGAAGACTTCCTTCCTTGCAAAAGAGAATTTACAAAAATAAGGAATACTTACGTTTTGCCAAAAAAGATGGATTTAGTGGGGGAAACTCCTTAAGTGCTTTTGGAAGATAACTACAAGTCGAACCTGTGGACTGCTTATGGGTAAAAAAGTGCACTGGGGCATAGTAGGAAGGCCTAGACACCTTCTCAGCAAGTGGTGTAACCTTCCTGGCAGTCAGAAGGTTTAGTAAAAGACTAAAAGACAAAGCAGAGGAGTCAGTATCTCAAAGAAGTTTGTCTCTGCAAGAGAGGAGTGTCTGATACTGCAGCCTCCTTCCTAGCCACAGGGGTGGCTTCAGTAGATGCTCTTCTAGACACAGAAGCCGTTGATGCAACTGGTAGGATCCTCTTTTATTTCATGTACTTGACTTGTAATAAGTTTCAAAGTTATGGTCTGTTTCTTAATGGTGGTTTTATAACCTAGCAGGCACCTGCTACCAGTTCAGTCCTGATGCAAACTGCTGCAATTTAATGCTGGTCTACACAAAGACTGAATTTGGTTTATGATGTCTGTGATCTTTTAACTTTGAAAGAAGTTTGAAGGGAAACATTTAAGGCATAAGGATTTTAATATTAAAACAAATATTCTGTCTCTATGTTCATGCATCTTAAACTGATGCACTCTTTAATTACACTTGTCTTCTAAAAAGGAAGCTGTAAATCATTTTAATGCGCTCCATTTTTCACCTCTAATATTCAGGGAACAGAAGCAATAAGGTAAATCAACAAAAGTAACACTCTGAAAAGATAAAATCCCTTAGGAAAGGTGGATTAAAGAAATGCTTCTATCTTTTGCAACATCAGGTAAAGTTTCACTTGAAATGCTCCACGTGGTGCTAGAGCATCTTGGGGAACAGGGAAAGAGCTCAATTGAAGCGGTTTATGTAGTGTCAAACAAACTCCTGTCGCTGACTGTTAGTATCCTTATGCCTTCGTTGTTACCCGCACCACAAAAACAATGCATCAAGAACATGGTGAGGGAGCAGGCCCAAGTCTTTGTGTTGACTATAAACATGTCTAAAGTCTATCACTTAAGTTTCAATGTCAGGGGAATAGTCAACACCCAACTGCCGTTTTGGTCATAGAAGGATTTGGGGTAAGCAAGCRTTGCAGGATGGGACCCTTCTTGAGGTCAGCAAGCCAGCTGTCCTGAGCACTATTTCCCTGCTTGCTCTTTCTTTCCCTTTTCAAACTGGTCTCTTGGCCCAGCGTGTTGCTTTTTCCTGGCCACGCTCTGTGGAGCTAGCACTGAGGTCCAGAGGTGCCCAGCAGCCTCTCCTACAAGGCTGGGTGCCAGGAGGGCCTCCAGGAGGCCGGGGAGCCTTCCGAGCCTCCCCTTGACTCATGTGCCTGGCAAAAGGCACCCTCTTTGCTGGCACAGCTGGGGCTCGGTGCCCCGTGGGCACCCAGCACCTGCCACCTCAGGCACAAAGCTGCATCCACCCACTTCTTGCCCACCTCTGTCCCATGCACGTGGATGTGTTTGGCTTTTTGGACTTTTCTGCTGTTTCCTATGACCCTGGCCTTTTGCTGCTACAGCTCTTGTGTTTTTGCTGCTAGACGAGAAGTCTGACATGGGTGAGGCTGCAGGGCCCACGAGCAGCGAGATGCTGCTGGGCTCGGCAGGACTCTGTGCCCGCTGGAGTTGAAGCAGGCACGTGGCTATTTTGTGAATGAGGCAGCAGTGAGAGAGGGGAAAAGGAGCCCTGTTTACAGACTGAAGCTGCCTCAGCTGCACTGGAAACAGTAAAGACAAGCTGAGTGTTCCAAAGAAGGAGCTTGAAAGTAATCCTTGAACAAAACCTGCAAGATCAGTGAAGTCATTGATGGAAGAGCTAAGCAGAACAGCTACTACTTAGGGTTTTTTTTTTTTTTTTTAATATACTGCATTTGTTCGTAGCTCAGCATTGCAGATTTGGGGGATGAGATCCATCAGGGAGACCTTTTCATAGCCTTTTCAAAATTGGCTGGGTTTTTTTTTGTTTGTCAAAAGTGATATATTTTTGAGCAGCATAAGAATCTGGTTGGTGAAGAGTGTTCCTCTCTTGGTGTATCCTCCAGAATATAAATTTTGAACATAGGAGTGGAACCCTCTTTTAGTAATCAGATTGCTGATCTCTTCAACCTTTTCAGCATGATTGTTCTTGATGATCTGTTTTGGTTTTTAATTTTAAAGCWATTTTCAATAGAGCATTTAATATTATCCTTTTATCTAATAAATGAAACTGCTATAGTGGATTCAGACTAACGGAACCGTTGTTTTTATTACAGGTGGTCCTTGGACTTCTCTTTGTGTCCAGAGAGAAAATGGGTCGCCTGACAAATGTGTGACTCAAGGGGAAATAACCTGTAGAAGATCCAAGTTGTAGCAGACAAAGTCAGGGTTCTGATGAGAACTGAGGTGTTGATGGCAATGAACATTGATATTTCAGACATGAGTAACTTCAGGTATTAAAATGGTAAGCCACATGGGAGAGGGGAAAATGTCTAGTGGATATATTGAACTTTGCCAATTGTTGAACAGAATTGAGCATAAAATTGCCTAGTATTAAATAAAGCTGTTCCTCAGACTGGTTTTGATGAATAATTTACTGAAGCAAAAGTTTATTTCCAAACTTGTTTAAATGGCACCGACCTGTCAGTGATAAAAATGTAGAGATGAAAACTTCAAGTAAAGATCCATTTTACTAATAGGTCTGTCAAACCCAACTACAGGTGTTTTTCCCCCCCCACCTCCTCTGCCTTCTGCAGTGTGAAGTTTCAGGGAGCAGTGCTTCTGGTTTGCTCCTGCAAGCACACACTGGTTCTTACAGGWTAGACCATTTGCTGGCTCCCTTTAGATTATTTTCAGAGTTCTTCCTTCTCTCATTAAGGCCTTTTTTTCCATCTTTTCAGGTCTTTTTACTAGCAATTTCCCCTGATCTCCTTCTCCTACACTCATTTCTTCTTTTACATCTGATAGCTACTTTCCCACCCTGTTACTATATAGRTAGTACACGTTTCTACCATGGGACTACATCAGCAAATCTAGTTTTCCAAGACTGAAATGCTATCAACAACAGGAATCCAACGCTAATATGACTATCTCTTACTTGTACAAGGAGGCAATTCTTCTAAGACAATTAAGTTGTACAGTGTTAATTCAGAGAGCATCACAGTTCAGTTTTGCATCCTGAAGAAGTTGCCATCCTTGCTTTATTTTTTTTTTTCCACTCCTATTAGTTAGAGCTGTCTTAAATCCTAGATTAACTTTTCACTCCTGTGAAATGATTGCCAGCCTCTTCAGGAGGACAAGGGGTACTAAAAGAATTATTTAGCATATGACTGACAGAACATACATTAGTGTTTTAATGTTTAGTTATTTAATGACCAAGTAACTACACGTTACATATCTTCGAATAATGCCTGAGACACTGTACTAAAGATGTACTATTAAAGAAGTGCTCCTCCAAAATTTAGTCCTTCTGAAAGTAGTGCTATGATAGAGCAGGATCACCCCACTTCCTGCCGTACSTGATTATCTCATTATCCTCTTCCCACAGCAAGGGGATYGCTCCCTTGATTCACTGCATCAGTGACTTAATATAGTACCAGCCTCATAGTTACCAGGCTGCTTTTTGAAGAATAATTATGATCTTATGTGCATAAAAATACAACTTTTATCTTGTACAGTTATGTGCTGGAATTAGGTTGGATTTGGTTGTGCGTTATTTTATTTTTTTCTTTTCTTGTCCCTGTCTCTCCTCTTCGCCCCAGGCATGGAAGACTCCTACTGTTTTCCATTGCTAGGGTTCTAGGAAAATCCTCCAAGACTCCTTTCAGGCTCCTTAATTATCCCTTACTCCCAAGACCGCTGTTCTCTGAAACAAAATCTGGAACAGAAGCAGCTGCATTCAAGCACTGCCTCAAGTGACCACTGGAGTGTTCAGTACTATTCAAACATACTGCAAGCACCTGACAAGCTGTATGGGTGGTCCTAGATAAGAGATTTTATTTTTCTGTCCACACCCTTAAACAGGCTATTTCAGCTACTTCTGCTGTGTCAGTTGAGCAGGGCATGTAATCTAGAAGATGAAGTCCAATTAGTTTTCTTTTTAGCCCCACTGAAAACCTATTCCACATTTTGTCACAAGGGATGCTAAAGTACAACTTAGGTGGACATCTTATCACATCGGGCATGCTTAGGCAAGGTTAACAGAATTTGCTGCTCTTTAGGGAAAGGTTACCAAGCTTCTTCCTTGCTGCCTGATACTCTGCTTTTGGGGAAGAGTCATAGTAGTAAGTATGGGTTTAATTTAATGCCTGTCTGAGCAACAAAAAATTCCATTTTTTAGTCTTAATTAAGATGAAGGACACATTCCTTTCTGTGTCTGTGGCAGGGTGCAGAGAAATATTTCCCTTCTCAGGTTGAGAGGATGTGCTTACCCCAGTAAAGTTCAGCTTCAGGTGACAGCTGTTGAAAGAAGGGACTTCTTCATGTGAATCTCCTTCATTAACTACCACTATTTGACCCTTCAGTCAAATATTACACACCATCCAGGAAGTGATGAATTCAAAAGACTTTTTAGTCACTCTCAGTACTACATTTTTTTTTCTTTCTCCCTCTTTTGATTATTAGTATCTGCAGACTTATTTTGGAATAGTGGATCTAATTGTTGAAAATTTGGGAGTGACATATTATGAAGAACCAATGTTTCCATAAGCATGAATGAACTGGTTATTTCAGTTGTGGTGGGTTTTTTTTGTTTGTTTTGTTTTAATTTGGATTAAGAATTAATGGCCTTTAAATAAAAGAAGCTTCTAACAGTCTGTGTATTTTGTATTCATATGTTCTGACTTACCATAGCTATCTACATTAAAGACATCTTCAGAATATCTTTGGCTGTAGAATACTGAGATCTGCCTTCTTTAAGTATTGTAATGCCACTACCTGACATGCAAATKCACATAATTACTATTTACTAAAGAAACTAATTTCCCCTCCCTTGTTGCATGTTACATCCCAATCTTAACCGAATCTCTCTGCTGATCAGCTCTCACTTAGAAAACTAGACTGACAAGGCCCTTCTGGATCAAGTCCCATCCTCAGGTGTAATAGGCATCCATATAAATCCTTTCAGAATCAATCTACGCCTTGAGTTGGTTGGTTTCTTTCCTCCCTGCTCCTTATTCCCTCTTGAGCAGGTTATTCTCCTTGCTTAAACACATTTCGGTTCATTTTATTATGCTCCTGTTCTTTTATCATCATTGTCCTTTAGCATAAGTTGCTGATGTTACTCAACTCCAAACTGAGTAAATAGTAAAACAGTAAAAGCTTGTTTGTTGGTTTTGGTTTTTAAGGTGTTATTTTTCAAGTCTAAAAAGTCAAATATCAAACTTGACTGGTCTGTTGACAAGATAACCTTTCCTTTTTGGAGATGGGTGCTCTCCTGCTAGGAGTGCCTCATCTCTAGAGTGTACCTTTTAGAAAAATTTTGACCAAGGTCTGGGATAATCTCCTTTTTTTTTTTTTTTTTTTTTTTTAAGAGCAATGCATGTCAATGAATACTTGCTATATTGCTAACAGCCTTAAAATATTGCTACAATGCTAACCGCCTTAAAAAACAGCCTACTGTAGGCAGTGAAGTTTCTACCATAACATTCCTCTGGTACCTGACATCAACCCAAAATCCAAAGACGTGGGCGATATTTTTTTCCATYTCTCTGTGTGGTAGGATGAGACACCACCTTTAAATCTATTGCTAGGTATGGTATTATTGCTTTATTATTATTATTATTGCTCTTATATATATATATTTCTTATTATTATTGCTTTGCTTTAGGTATGGTATCCATCAAAATCTTTACTGTTCCTAATATGAAGCATTTATTATGTACTTGAAGAATGAAGATTAGTGTTAGAGCACTGATTTCCTTGCAAGAAAGTTGCGTCAGATGAGGGTCACTGTCCCCTTTGTAGGTGCCCAAGGGGTTTGACTTGAGGTGCACACGAGGAAAAGTCGGTTACACCTTCACATACAGTAGATATGCAAACTATTGAGTCTGAGAATCAGTATTTGAAGAACACGCCTGGGAGAAGAGAAGAGAAGAGAAGAGAAGAGAAGAGAAGAGAAGAGAAGAGAAGAGAAGAGAAGAGAAGAGAAGAGAAGAGAAGAGAAGAGAAGAGAANAGAAGAGAAGAGAAGAGAAGAGAAGAGAAGAGAAGAGAAGAGAAGAGAAGAGAAGAGAAGAGAAGAGAAGAGAAGAGAAGAGAAGAGAAGAGAAGGGCACCCACTACTGCAATGCTGTCCTGACTAATTCTTTTGTTTTGTTTTTAATGAATGGATTTTTTTGTTATTTGGGTAAAGGACAGTTTGCTCTCACTTGAGTTGTCTAGTCAGATAACATCATTTTATCCTTCGTATTATCTTGGTTCTTCTCCGCTTTCTAGAAACTCATCTATAATAAGCAAAATAGATCAGCAGAGTAATACAATAAACATAATATAATAAGCATATTAATATGTAAGTGCATAGCATATAAAGCAGAATAAACATAGGCAGAATAGATTTCAGAAGAGGATGTGCCTCATTGCACAGATCATCTACTTGTTCTTTTGCCAAATACAGTAACATCACATGTATTTATGGATGTTCCTTTCAAAATTTCTCTTATCAATCTGACTATCACCTTTTCTGCTCTCTTGATATTTTATTTTATTTTATTTTATTTTATTTTATTTTATTTTATTTTATTTTATTTTATTTTATTTTATTTTATTTTATTTTATTTTATTTTTTGGTCTGGTGAGCCATACTGTTGGGAATCTCTGCAGTGGCTCATAAAAACATTTTATTCTGCTTCACTCATGATGCAACCCCTAAATTATTGAAGGTTTTCATAGCATTAGCTGTGTCTTGATTTATAGATCAGCACTGCTGTTAAACACACACGTTCATATTAAGGCATACATAAGCCCTACAGTTCTTTGTCATGCTGCAGGAAGTATTGCAGCAAAGGTTCTTCGAGTTCAAGGTATTTTTCACTTGTTAAAGTTAATGTATTTTTCACTTATTTAATAAATCTATGGATTTAGATTCGTCTAAAAACATGACTTGATTGTTTGGATCTTCTTATGGAAAAATACCTTTTTCTCCTCTTTTTTGATGATGTATACAACGGCATTTTGTAACTCWTTTTTTTTTTTATTGCTTGTAAACATCTACACTTACTGTAGAAATGAGAACATCTCATGCCGGGAGGATTCAGCATGTGTGACAGGGAGGAGGGACAGTGTCTCCCCAGCTTTCCTCCCCCTCGGCCCAGGTAGTAGGTTTAGGTCATGGTACAGGTTAGAAGGGTTTCATGCTTCTACAATTTGCACATATTTAACTGGCTCCTGCAGAAAACTGCAGTTTGGTGAGTGCCATCCAAA